GCGAAGACGGGGATGGCAGGCTGGGGACCGCGCTTGCGAGTCTTGGCCGAGGTCTTGCGGATCACCATGTAAAAGAACAGGCCGGGCTTGACTCCGTCGTAGAGCACCTCGTACTCACCCGCATGCGATTTGAGCCTGCGAGACCACGGCGACGGGAGGCGCGCCGTGAGACCGCGACAGTGCCAGCAACGCGGTGCGGTGCGGGGCGGTGCGATGAGCGGCAGCGTGGGTATCGAGGCAGCACGATGGCGGGGCACGGCGGCGGGGCACCAACTGCGAATCTTGGGGAAGGGCTGCTTGGGCTGGCGCGAGGCGGTCATGTCCCAGTAGTAGCTGTGGATGAAGGTCAGGTTGGAGATGAACACCACCCACAGCTTCCTCAGCCATGAGGTCGCGTCGAAGTTCTCGTCGGCGAGCACGATCAGTGAGTCGGGCTTGGCGATACGCCACTGGTGAAGCAGGGTGGGTGGCGGTGAGGGATGGCAGATTCAGGATCCTTGGGGAGGCAGCAGCGAGGTGGCACCGTCTCAGCTAGCGACTTGTCGATGTCGGTCTCGTTGATGCCGCCAAAGTTGTAGACGACGTCGAAAGAGTCATCCTCAAAGAGAGTGTCCTCCATCGAGCCCTTGAAGCAGTACGCGTGCGGATTGCGCGCCTTGCACATCTTGAGCAGCCGCTCCGAGATGTCGAGGCAGCAGACGCACCTGGGCGCACGGGGTGACGCATCGCCGGCAGCCAGGAAGACCAGAGTAGGCTGGGTTGCGTAAGGCCGAGGCGCGGCGAGGAGTGGCAGGCGAGTGCATGGTGGGCAAGCGATGAGTCTCAAGAAGTGGCACTCACGCGTTGCGCAGTGCGGACGAGATGTCCATCGTCGAGTTGCCCGTCCCAGGTCCGATGTCGAGGACGCGGAACTCGTCATCGGTCGAGTGGGTGACAAGATCAAGCAGCGGCCCGTGCAGGTCCTGCTTAAAGTTGAGTCGGGTATTGTACTTGTTGAGGACGGCGTTGTACACAAAGGGAAGGTACTCGACGGTGCCCCATTCTTCTAACGAGTCGTCCAGGTCGGAGTAATCCTTGGAGTAGAAGATGTCGGTGTCGGACGAGTAGTTGTAGGCGTTCTTCTTGACGAAGGAGGGGCGGGCATTCCGGAAGGTTGCCACCTTGTGCGAGAGGAAGAGGCGCGCGTAGACGTTCATGACAAACGAGAAGGGCGCCCAGTAGACGACGGCGTAAAACAGAGTGAGCGCGTCGTTGAGAACGACGCTTTTTGTGAGCCGGATGAAGAAGCCGACGAAGGGCAAGAGCGTGCAGTATGAACCCGCAATGAGAGCAGCCAGCGCAAGCATGACTGGCGAGGAGGAACTCTCGGAAGACGATGAAAGACTCTTGAGGAGACCGAGCAAAAAAGAAATCAACTGCGCGGAGGTGGACAGAAGGGAGGGCGCGAAAGACAAGGATTCTTTGGCGACAGGCGCGAGACACGAGGCAGCGACGAGGTCAGCGACGTACAAGGTTTTCCGGCAAACAAAAAGGAAAACAGAGGGTCCCCAGCACTTTGCGTTTCCGGAAATTTCCCGCGTGCGGGCACTTGTGCGCTTGCGGGCCATGCTCTGAGCTGATGCAAGAGTGCCCTTACTGCCGCGAGCCAGTGATGATGTGGATGGTCCCGCGTCCGGTCTAGATTTGCACCTCTCCCATTTCGCAGCGCTCTTTGCCAGGGTGGGCCATTGTCTCTGTCTGGACTGTCTACGGACTACGCCAACGGCTTACAAAATTACTTCATATTATACACCAATATTGGTTATTGCATCGATGACGATGTCGTCGTAGCTCTTTTTGTGTCATCTGAGGTAAGGTAAGGTAAGGTAAACGTGTCTCCACACACACACAAGGTGGTGGGGCAAGGGGGGGCGACCCTCGCATCTCCACGCCCGGACACGGGCAGGAGAGCCCCACGGCATTCAAAGTGCAAGCAGAAGCACCGGCCCGGTGCCGTCTATATGATGTACAGAACCAAATGAGCGATACGTACGTGAAAACCTCACTTCGTGATCTTGCGTCCTTGCCTCGACGAGGTTGCTTCCCCCAGGATTAGTCTTCTCTGCTTGCGGGAACACCCGCAGGCGGCCGGGTGGGGCTGCGGCTGGAGCTAGCATGGCTCGGTAGAGCCGAGACCCCGTGTTGAGGCGGCGCTCCTGTGAAACTGATATGTGGCGACAATTGGTGGCACTTTGTCGGCACTGGTGAAACGACATATTGTGTGTCGCCGGTCCAACTCTCCGCTCTGAGCGCCTTTTGTGGCGCGCTGTTTTGTGACCCACCCACCTCTCCCTTGTGTTTTGTCTGGGGGGGGGGGGCTTCTCCTGCGGAGTCGCGTGCGTGCGCAGGGCTCCTCTTTGCTTTCTTCTACTCCCTACTATCATCTCGTTCCCGTCCTACCAGAGACGAGTGATGAGAGCGCTGCAGCTGGTTCGGGCTAGTTCCATTTCACTCTGACACGCTAATCTTGAAAACGTCCAACGGAGCTCCGTGTTGCTCCCAGCGCCCTCCCCCGCGCTTCCTGCGGCCATGGCCGATGATACTAGTATGAGAGGTCATCTGGCTACCGCGAGCGCGACTCAACTCGTCGACATCGTCCGATGATGGTGCCTCAAAGTCAGCCTCCGGAGGCTATCGTGGGGTCGAGCCGGCAGTAGCCGTGACATGTGGTTCCACCACCCCTCGTATGCTTTGCCTCTGACCGCCACCGTTCCCAGGCTGCCAAATGGGATGGAAAGGAAGGCTCGGCGAGCGTATAGAAGCGTGCTCGACCTCGTCGTGGCAACCTGCACGGCAGCGCTGGTAGGCGCGATGAGCGTCGTGCCACCTGACCCGAGACGGGTCGCAGGCGTCGTACCGAGCGCGTCGAGACCGTGTCCTGATGTGATCTGCACGGGTGAGTCACGTCGGCGTCAAAGGAGCGACGTGCGACCTGTCAGAGCTTGATCTCCGATCTCAGCGGCGTCGAGTCCTCTTCCGGGCGCGACAAAGGTACATTCCCAGGACGCGCAAAGGCAGCTGGAACCCTGGGTAAATGGTTGTTAAGTTCCTGGCTCGTTTTTTTTGTGGT